GCCCTGCCCTGACCTGACCTGAAAATAGTTCCAAGAAGTATTGAGCTATACTACTAATATCCATTATTTTTTACCATTCTTACTGCAATAAGTATACTTATAACTTTACTTAAAATTAACTTGAATGAAATATACTACTTTTTTTGTAATGGAATCTGTAGTTTATGCAGAGGAACATCACAAGTTTAACTATAACGCACCTATGCATGATTAAATATATTTAAGATGAAAAATCTATGTATTATGTATTTAAAGTACATTCAATTCATAATCAACTCAAAATCATAAAGTTTCACTCATTTACAAGACTCCACAGTCACTGCAAAGTTCAACAGGGGTTTCAACAGTGTAGCTAATATTTTTGCTAATGCATTTAAGTAAAAAAAAGTTTGCTAATAAATGTATCCACTAAACTGTACCCTACTCGTTGCTTAATGGGAAATTGTGTATTTAGTCCTAATCATGAAATATGTTAATGATCTTTTCAGGTAGCAAGCTAACAGCTTAGCATGATAACTTGGCATAGCAGCGCTAACAGGTTAACCTTTTTTGATTAGCTAGAACTCACACTTCCCTTTTTTCTGATGAGTTGAAGTTATGTTTTGAGGTAATTCATAGCATGCCACAGATGTTAGATGGAATCTCACTTTCATCTTTTACTTCCTCGGTTTTTCTCATCTGTTAACTGTATTTCTCTCTTATTCCCCTGTTATGGAACCTGATCCTGTTTCTCTGGCCTCTTTTCATCGTGATTGGCTGCAGGATGGATGATGCCGAGGCCTGTTTTATCTTAAGCAACCGATTTGAAGTGGACCGCTTTGCCGCTGTACGTTCCCCTCCAACTCAATTTCCTCACCTTTTTTTTCCATTCTGCATTTCAACCCTCTCATTTCTATCCATAAAATAGGAAGCAGCAATTTCAAACATCTCCAGTATTAGCCCGTTTCTCTTTCACTCTTTGACATTCTCCCTACTGATCTCACATTTTGACAGTTCAGCATGAAATGATTTATCCTGAAGGCAATTGTAAGGGATGTTTGAGAATGTAGTTGGATGCCTCTCACGAAAACTGTGAAGAAAACATCAGGGTCATATTTCAACCCAAAATCAAAAGAAATAAACACTAAATATATTTAGCATTAGGAACAGGAGGCCTAATTTTGCATTGTAGCATTAATTCCCTTCTCCCATAACTGCAATTACTTTAATACATAAAAAGCATTTCATTACTGTATTATAGAAGATGTATTATGTAAATTTAATATTTGAAGTATTGCCTCATTTAAAGGGGTCATATGATGCGATTTCAATTTTTCCTTTCTCTTTGGAGTGTTACAAGCTCTTGGTGCATAAAGAAGATCTGTAAAGTTGCAAAGACTAAAGTCTCAAATCCAAAGAGATATTCTTTATAAAAGTTAAGAGTCAACCACGCCTACCTAAAACGGCTCGTTCTGGATAGTTGGCCAATCAGAGCACACCTCGCTTTTCAGAACAATGAGCTTTGTAAAAATTGACGCGTTTCAGAAAGGCGGGGCATAGAGGAGCAACAATAATGTACCGTATGTGGAAAATAATGTGTTTTTTGAACCTTAAACCGCATAAACACATTTCATTACACCAAATACACAAAATAATGTTCTTTTTAGCAACATCATATGACCCCTTTAAATTATAAATACAGTATAGCTCATTTTAATTCTCATTTAAATTATAAAAAAAAAAAACATTGAAACAATCATCTTTGGAGAATAATTAAGAAAAACTCCAAAGTAAATGTCTGGAATGTGGTGGAAAATATGCTTAATAATTTGACATTGAAACAATATCTTAATGGTTTAGAAAATAGACTTTATTTTCTTTTTGCTTAATATAATTTCCTGTTTTTTTTTCTTCTGATTTTGTGGTGAAATGTGACCTCTACATGTTTTAATGAGATTCACCTAGTTGTCAGACACTTTAGATGTTAATTTCTCTGTAAAGAGGGTAATGGCTGGTACGTAAGAGCAGACACTATGGCTAATGGTATACTTCTGTTCATGTGCTTCTCTTTCTCTGTTTTTCTTTGTCACAGGACCATCAGACCATTCTTAGGGCCTGGGCCGTGAAGGACTTTGCCCCAAACTGCCCTCTCTACGTGCAGATCCTCAAACCCGAGAACAAGTTTCACATCAAGTTCGCAGGTCAGCGTGCAAATTGTGTTTCTCTCAGGGATGCAGGTGTAGATAGTGTGATATTCGATGCGCTTCGTACATGTGCGAGTGTGTTGAGAGGCAGCCGATCAGCCAATCTCCTTCCCTCTGAAGCCGTGTCCTTCAACACTCAACCCACTTTCTATCCCTCTTCAGTTGTGGAAATGTGGATAATGCTTTTTACTTTCCTGGTCCTCCCATTCCCCATGTCTGCTATAGTGTGGAGGCCAATGTTGTTATTATTAACGAAAACTATTACATGGACTAGAACCTAGCAGTGAAAAATATTTATAAAATAAAAATGGGGGTTTGAAGAAAAAAATCCTCACGTGTGAACATATAAAAACACTACTGTTCAAAGGTTTGAGGTCAGGAAGTTTTTTTTTTTTTTTATACTTTTATTCAGCAACAATTAATTAAATTGTGATTTTGAAAAGTAATTGTGAGATTGTGAAAAGTGAAAGTAAAGGCATTAATAACGTTAGAAAAGATTTCAAATAAATTGTGTTCTTTTTCAAATTTCTAAGAATCCTGACAAAAAAAAATAACATTGATAATAATAAGAAATGATAATAATAACATTTTTAACATTGATAATAATAAGAAACGTTTCTGGAGCAGTAAATCAGAATATTAGAATGATTTCTAAAGGATGATTTGACACTGAAGACTGGAGTAATGATACTGAAAATTCAGCTTTGATCACAGGAATAAATTACATTTTAAAATAATCAAATAGAAAACAGTTATTTTAAATCGTGATAATATTTCAAAATATTACTGTTTTTACTATATTTTTGATCCAATAAATGTGGCCTTGGTGAGCAGAAGAGACTTACCGACCCAATTTTCTTTTAACAGTATGTACATATTACAGTTCTTCTTATTTCATTGAATCTTATATCCACCTAAAATGCTTTAATTTACTAGTTGACTACTGAAACTGCTTTACTAATGATTAATGTGAGGAATGTTAATTGTCAGTACTTAAAAATGGCGGCTATTCAGCATAATTTAAGGCATATATTCCTCGTTTCTCTTATTTGTCTAAATAGTGCAAGATTATTCTTGCCTGACACCATATAAATAAGATGTATTCAGATTAGATTATATAAAAAGCAGTAATTTCTGATAAAGTCACTGTACGCCGATTTAAAAAGATTTTAAAACCAGTACTGAAAACAAAAATAAAGCATACAAGCAAAATACAATATATTGATGCACTTTTAAAACGAACTAAAACTAACCTGAAATTAAAACACAAAACAAGATAAAATATTTAAAACTATAATAACCCTGCTGCCGGCAGACTCCTAGTCACCCAGGCTGTTTTTGGCTGTCCAAGCCCCTCTCATGCTCAAAAGCCCAGCCAATCAAGCATCACTTGTTGGGCTGAGGAGAGTGTGTGGTGCACTCAAACCTCCAGCTCCGTGAGGCTCTCCTGCACAATGCTGGGATTGTCACAAGTAACTATATCGGTCCGCCTTCGCTTCAGCTGTCTCAATCAGCCGCTGAGCTTTGATTGTGTCGGAAAAGTGAAGAAAATTCATTCTCTTTACCCTCCACCTGCTTCTGCTGCACTCCAGCCTCTCCCTTCACAGCTCATCTCCATTTGAACACCAACAGGATCCGTGTTCATTCACTTGACCTCCTTGCAAGAGTGTTGGGGAGTTACTAACTAAAAATAGCAGTGCTACTAGTAACTTAGTAGCTAGTTGACTAGTCGAGAATGCTCCTGTATAGGAGCAGGACCTTAAAGTGTGGTGATTTGTTTGTGGGATTGTTGTGGTGTGTGTGTGAGCGTTATTTTAGGGAGATTACCAGGAAATGATATGGAGAATTTCACGGTGCAGTAGGATGTGAGCTGAGGCGATGATTAGAGATCCAGATCGCAGCTGGCGCCACCGCTCCAGTGAGCAGCAGATGAAAAATGCGAAGAAGATGCATTGCTCTCTCACGTGAAGACCCTCATTTGTACGGCCCATAGAGCTGCATTACCTGCAGCTGGGATGCTGAGAGCAAGATGGTCTGCCCAGCATGTGGTGGCGGCGCTGGTTTTAGGGTCAATGAGAAGGCGGAGGATGAACGGACAGGATGAGTCAGTGGCTGAGGCAGCTGAGCTTTACCCAGAGATCAACCACAGATTGCACACTATCACACAATCTGTCAGTCGAACCCAGAGCTGCTGGTCACCCATCAGAGAAGAATGAGAATGGAGCGATGACTCGTTTCCTTGCTGCCTTATCAGTCAGTGACATGACGCTAAAATTCATGACCCAAAAACCCTACATATATATACGAAATACATCTTTATTTTTGGTGTAATAAAATCTTGATTCACAAATGTTTCAATAATATTCATTGTTTTGGATGCATCTTTTGGCTGGTACTTGACCCTTGTAAAAAAGTAGTACACATTAGTATACTTATGGAAATATTAAATGCAGAGTGAATGTAACATTTTGGGACACTTAATTTGTATTTAAAACAATTAGCTGAACTTCAGAGTGTGTTAAGTAGGAATTACTTCTATTGTCTTTGAAATATGATTCCTGTTGAATTAACTGACAAGCATTTATAGTAAACTAAAATACACTTTAATGCCATTTTTATTGAAACTTGTACTTCATGCACTTAAAATATTTGTAATTACACATTTGTAATGGTGCATTACACATTGTGTTGGCATCAGCGCTCGACCATCATAGTCACAACAGCCAATCACATTAATTTTTTCCGGTGTTGCCTGAACGCGATTGGCTAGCGTCTGCACTAGGGTGTTTGCATAAAAGCGATCTGATTGGTGCTTGAAAAGTTGAAACATTTTCAACTTCTGCTACAAGCAGTTCCAGTGACGTGATGCAACAGACCCACAATTCAGTTGACGTCACCCATTCAAAGTAAATGAGAAGCGTTAACGCCAATGCCCATGTGAATACACCCTAATGATGAAGTTGCAGTTTAGTACATTTAAAACATATTAACTTTAAATGTAATATCACGTAACACACTGAAGTTAAACTTATAGTCAAGTAAATGCTTTAGTATGTTAGTTAACACATCAAAATAAGTGTACTTTTTAAACGCATGGCAAAAGATTGTTAAAACATAAACTTAAATGTTTAAACATAAAATTTTAATTGCATTTTTTTTTTAAATGTTGTCAAGAAACATAAAAGTGTCTCTCTGTAATTAATAAAGCAATAAGCCCCAAGAAGCCGTGGTTTACAGTGAATTTATAACAGCTAAGGGGCGTTGTTAGGCACGCCGCAAAATTTACTGTAAACCACGGCTTCACGGGGCTTATTGCTTTTATAAAACGGTTATTCCATATACGTAGTAAGGTTTCACAAAATAAAACAGAGCAAATAAAGTGTAATGATATTAATAAAAACAGTATTCTTCCACCAAACAATGTAGTTCCTCAGAATCAGTTGTGGTTCCAACAAAGTGGTTGCCGAGCAACACACAAAGTAAACAAAGGTGTATGTTTGTAGAGTAATTTACAACAGCTTCGAACGTGGCTCAGCCAATCAGAATCAAGGACCGGAACTATCTGTTTTATAATATACTTTTTAATAGATTTTTAACAATTAGGCCCTGTGTCCACCAAAGCGTTTTTCCCCGCGGCTAGCGTGTTTTTTCAGTTGTTCTCAATGGGAGCGCCGCGTTTTTTAAAACGCCAGGAGCGTGCCGAGCGCTGAGCGTCTTTTTCGCGCT